GGACAACTCAAGTTTGCAGCTATAAGTGATGCTTTATGCTGAGGAATGTAAATCCATACCTTCTAGGGAAGACATGAGTGTTTCTGTTCTGTTATCTGGTTCAGAGGGGTTTGACCACTGTAGTTTTCATAGGTATTATAATAGCTAGGTGAAAAAGAAGAAAACTGTGAACTGTATGGGATTGTAAAAATAAATCAGGTTGGTTTCCTCTTAGGAAGAGAGTCTTGAAATAAAACAGCCGCCACACCATCGATTCCAGGTTGCTGTGCCCTGTACAGTTCACAAGCATGAGCCGAAGATACAAAATTATAAGACCCAGGCACACTCAGGCAAATATTCCTATTGTATAAAGTGTATAAAACGGGAGCTGGCAACAAAGGATATGAATGAATGTCCAGAAGACCTCCTTACCCTTCCTTCTGCTTAGAAATAATTTTCCAGACAATGCCTGCCCCCAGGAGAAGCAGGACCCCAGCAGCTGCGGCTCCTGAGAGGGAAGAGCAGGTATTATTCTCACTGTATGCTTAAAGCAAATCAGCACAAAAGACCTAACGAGGCACAGCTTCAAAGTGAGCAGAGGGAAACGGTGCCACTGTATGCAGTTAAAGCCACAGAAATGTCTCTGAGATGCTTACCTAGGGTGACTGAACCAGACTTGTGTGATGCTGAGGGGGAGAGAAAAAATAAAATCAGCAAACTGCTCTAACCAAAGACCGTGTTTCTCAATAAAGCTTTTCCTGCTAAGGCTGGCAATACAGGATTTGTTAACAACCATACCATTATTTACTTTTTTTTTTTTTTTCCCATGCAGAAAGACATTTGCATGTTTCTGTTTGATCTTTGCTTCATTTTCATTTCACTCACTCAGTTTACAGGCTGGTACAGGAGGGTCCCAGCTGAAGTCCTCCTGGCACTGAATCTGACTGGTGCCTTCCAGCGTGTAACCATCATCACACTCAAGAGTGATGTTAGTCCCGGAGCTATAAGTGTTTCCTTTTATGGTTTTCTTAACACCTTGAACTTCTGGGAATACACATCTGATCTCTGAAATTAGAAACAGCAAAAAAATGACATTTAGTGAGAAGGAACATAACATACGAGAAATACAACTGTGGGTTATTTAGGACATTGTTCTTGAATTCTTCCTGAATATAACCGGGAATTAATTCATATTCCGCTGGATAATTCCTTCCTCTGTGGCTGCAGAAGAGGGCAGGTGTCTCACTCCCACATGTGAATATTAATATTATTAATTAGTCCGGCTATCTAAGCTATTTATAACACTAATTTCAATGAAGTGAGTTAGTTGCTTCAATTTAAGTGTCTAATCAGCTTTGACAGCCCAAACCCAAGAATTCTGGAGAAGGTTCTTGGTGAAGACCGAAGGGGTAACAGCAACTTTTAACCTTTGTTTAACGTCTTTTTCTTTTATATTTATTTTTACTTTCACACATAATAGTTACTAAGGACTCTTCAAAACCACAAGAACGTGGAATGGCAGGGAGAATTTTTCCGTGAGACTGCTTCCTTTAAAGATCCCGTGGCTTATTTACCAAAGCGTTCGGTACTCAAATTTCCTCTCATTGTCATCCAAGCACCTTTCAACTCCTGAGTCACTGAGGTGGGTCCAGCTCCACCAGGGAAGCACCCTGTGTGGGTAATGAGTGTATTCCGGTGAATGTCCAGTTTTCCGTGCAGGAACACCCACACTAGGAATCTTGTGACATTCATGCCATTTCCTTTCGTCGGGTTTGCCTGGTGACTGACCTACACAGGAGTGCTAAGTCACAGATACAGAGGAATTTCCCAGAAGGGAATAGTCAGGCTCAGTGTAATCCACAAACCATCCATCAGAGGCAGCGTCTCTGATAGAATAACTTCCTTTGTTTCCTCTTAGTGATAACTGGGGAGTGAGAGACACGAAAATGGAAGGGAAAAAGTTTCTGCTGTTCTACTAAAAGTAAAAAGCTTTTAATGGACAAAAGCTGGTATGCGGCTCATTCCTAGCAACAAGAGCCAAGAGGGAAAACATGCAAGGATTAGAACTGCCCTTTGGAATTGCCTCTATCGTACTCATATCCTTCTGACTGTTAGCATGAGGCTCCCATCCTGCTTCTTCACAACAATATCCTACTCTTCAGAGGGATAACAGAGAGTGGTTAAAGTCATCATTAACAGATCAACACTGCCTAGCTACAATGCGTAAGTGGTTCCCAAACAAAATAAGGGGATGGAATTCAGTGTTAGCTGCAGAAGATTTTACTGATTAGATTTTGGCCCACGTATCTCTCTGAAGGTTTAATTTATTTCCCAAAGTGAAACCTGCCACCATGAATCCCAAAGAGCACACCAAGCACAAACCCACCTCTGCACTGAGGAGGGGGCTGGCTCCAGGTTCCTGACCCCGTGCAGTTGATGAAAGCACTTCCAACGAGTGAATAGCCAGAATTGCAGCTGTAGGATACAGATGCTCCGTAGGAAAAAGTGTCAGAGAGGTTGCCTTTGAGCTCCCCGTTGGTGATTTTTGGAGGATGGGGACACTTCACAGCTGGAAAGTCAGGGAGAGACAAACAACAGTGCTGACATGAGGATCCTAAGGGACTGCCAGGGAGTAGCGAAGGCACCGTACCACTGCAGCCTTCATTGCTGCCTTTTCATTTCTTTACCAGCTCAGCAACTGGTTTTGTCATCCTGTAACTCCATCAGCCTTTGGAAATGGATATAAACTTGATCTGATTCTTATCACACATCCTGTAGTAAACAACTCAGATATCATCCTTCTACAAAGCTTTCCCTGAAGCAGGTCATGTTAAATGACCTTTCTTAGATCTCTGCAACAAACACACACCTTGACAGACAGGAGGAGGATGGCTCCAGGCTCCAGACTGTGTGCAATGAATGGATCCCGTCCCAATGAGAGAGAAGCCGGGCTCACAGATGTAGTTTACGGATGATCCAGGAGTGAAAAACGCTTTTGGTGGACCATGGAGAGACCCGTGGGCGATTTGTGCAGGCTTGGAACAGTGCAGCACTGAAAGGAGAGAAGTGCAGGTCAAAACAGAGCTCATACAGGAAAGCTGGTAACAAGAGAGTTAAAAGGTGCAATTACCCCTTGTCCCTGCAAAAAGCAGGACAGGTTGGGAGGAGGAGTTAATGTTTAGTAAATTTTGCCTCTTCTTATAATAGACCTACCTGGTTTCGTTGTGGAACCAGGATGGCGATAGTGTTCTGCCACTCCATCTAGATGCAGCATTAAGAGTTTAAAATACACATTTTGCTGAGCAAACACAAATCACAAATTTACCTTCATTTTCCATCGCACTGCCTTTACATTTCCAGCAAAAATTTCACTCCTCTCTCATAGGCAGTGTCCTGCCATGAAGCTACCAAATTGCTCATTTTCAGGAAATTAAGAGAATATGGATTATGGATTGCAATGAGCAGGGTGAGAAAAGGGCAGATCATGCTTACGCTTAACAGCATCTCCCCAAACCTGGCTCATCTCCTGGGTGAGAAGAGAGGCGTGAATAAAAGGAACAATTGCTGGTGTCTCCTTTAAGTAGTTGGAGCAAACAGGAAAAATAAAGCCAGCTTTGGCTTCAGTGAGTGGTAGGAGCAGTCGGGGAGGAATCTGCAGTGCTAACGGGTCGGGGTGCTGGCACTCACCCTGCTCGCAGACGGGTACCGGTGGATCCCACGTTCTGTCAGCCTGGCACTGGGCTGTGTGATTGCCTCGCAAGGTGAAACCTTTATGGCACTTGAAGCTAACAGTGTCTTTGTATGTGTAGCGATATTTAACAACAGATACTCTCCCGTTCCGAATCTGTGGGACTGGACATACCACCTCTGAAAAATAAATTCATTATCTCAAAGAGGGAGCCACATCCCACTCTTCTAGTGCAAGACACATTTCTTCCTTAATTTATTATTTATGTTTGTGAAACAAAAGAGACAAATCCCTGCAGGCATCTCACAACTCTTCATTCTACAGAACTCACAAAGACCAAAAGCTAGCATCTGGAAGATTTTTAGAAGAAATCAACCAAGGAAGAAAAACAAAGCAATCCTAGAGGAATATTATGCTTTAAAAGTCTTATTCATCAAGGTTCTATTTGTTTTAAGGAAATGCCACTTTTAAATTTTAAGGACTTGATTTGGGCCAGATCCAGTCTTGACCTACTTACTCTGACAGATGGGAAGAACACCACTCCATGCAACATCTGCTCCGAAAATCTCGCATCGCCGATGAGACTGTCCAACCAGCCGGTGCCTGGAGTTACACAGAAAGAAATGTCAGTTCATACCAAGACATGCAGCCTGGATTTGCACTCCCACGCTGACACTACCCCAGAGGTTTCCTTCTGCAGCCTCTTGAGTCTGGCTGGTCACCGAGGTGTTTCTGTTGGTTTGACACCAACTGTGGCGTAACTGGAACCAAAGTACAAGTTCTGGCTTGCTGTGGGAGAGCAGCCTGCGCAGAGGAGTGGGCTCAGAGCCTTTGCTGTAGGGTACCCAACACCGAGCTCAGACACGGAGCCAGCCAAGGCGGCGCGGGACTCACCCTTCTTCACACATGTAGTTCGCGGTTGACCCGAAAAGGAGATCTTTCAGAACAACAATGCCATTCTTTGGTGTTTCTGGGTATTTACATTGCTTCCCTGGGAAAGAACAAGGCTGAGTTTAAACTCCTCTCTTGCAGTTTGCAATGCACTATGAGAAGGTATCTTAAGGATCTGTCCACATTCAGACACCAATCAAAACATGATTTTTGAAAGGCCAATAGCTGCCCAAACTATGTGACTAGTGAAGCCATGTATGAATCCTTTTTTAAATAATTGCTTTAAGAAACCCACAAATGTAACATAGACAGTTTTCAACGACCAACACCAAACGGATGGAGCTATTCACTTTCACAGAACGCTAGCGCTTCAGACCACGTGTGGTTTTTGAGGCATGTCAGAGTCGGGGGTACTCCGGGGTGTCTCATGTATCCCGGCCGGCAGCTGTATTGCACCGTGTCCCCAACAGGAAACTCCGTCAGATTTTTGTATTCCTCAGTCAGCTCAGCAAAGGTGAGGTTTGGAGGTGCTCCACAGCCATCTATCAGGAAAGAAAGAAAACACAGGGAAAACAGGGATGTCAGCTACAGAGAGTTGTGTTAAACTGTATATTGAGTACACACAGATAAAAGTTTACAAGCAAAACGGACAAGAAAAGGGAAGGACCGAAGGATGCAACATTTTGGGATGAGTGAGGGAAAGGATGAGTCTCACAGGCTTTCAAAAGCAGAAATTCCCAGCCTGTCTGTAACTCCAGCTACTGTCTCAGCACCGCTGTGTACCTGCACACCGAGGGAGGGGGAGGCTCCAGGTCCCAGCATCGGTGCAGTGGATCGCTGCCTCTCCCAGGAGGCTGTAGCCGGGGTCACAGCTGTAGTTTACAACCATCCCAGTCGTGAAAACATCCACATCATGGCTGGTGTGATTTCCTCTGTCAATATTTGGAGGTGAAGGACAGTGCAGCACTGAAGAGAGAGGGCAAAACAAAATGAAAAAAGGGCACAGACAGGGTAATGCGCATGAAGGATGCCTGCACTAAAAGTGAACCCAGCTCCTGCCCAGGGAGCGTGCCCAGCTCACCTTCACACCGCGGATAAGGGATGCTCCAGGTTCCATTCACTGTACAGTACAGGGTTGGTTTTCCAATAAGCGAATAGCCGGGGTCACAGCTGTAATTTACAGACCTCCCAGGGATGAATTCTTTCACATCCTCGCCATCGTGCTGGCCGTGGTCAATCGCTGGCAGGGAGGGACACAGCCGCCCTACAGGGAAGGAAGTCTTCACTGAGAACAGGAAACTTTGTGGTTTTCTGTTTTGTTTTCCCGCTCAGCGCTAGAGAACTGAGGCTCTCTAAGTATGTGGATTTTCACTTTTTTCCCCTTCTTTCCTCCCGTAATCCCTTTGTCTCACTGGCACAGCCACAAGGGCAAAAGGCAGGTGGATCACCTTCACACCGAGGGGCAGGGACGCTCCAGGCTCCGGATGAAGTACAGTTAAGCTCTGCCTCTCCAACAAGAACATAGCCGGGATCACAGGCGTAGCTCACGGACATGCCGCTGGTGAAGACAACTGTGTCGGGGCCGCTGTGCGATCCATTGGCAATGGCTGGAGGGCGAGAGCACTGCGACTCTGGGGGAAGGGGGCAAAACCGCATCCGTGTCAGTAGGGAGGAAAAGGAGGAACATGGAAAAATGAGTGAGGGATGGCCGCCCACACCCCGCAGACCCCCACCTCCGC